CTTGCTTAGATATAAATACAAGTGCTTAAAAGACAATAAACAGAACTGCTTGATGGAACCCCTGCCGCGTCTGAGTGTTCCTTTGTGGGCTGAATAGGCGTGTGGTGCACTCACCCACCTTTGGGGATCCTTCTTCAGCTTACGCCACAGAGGGCAACTTATCTGGTCCTGCCTGGGGGGGTAGAGGGGGTCTGCTGGGGATCACTCGGTGGCCATGACCAGGGAAATCTGGAGCCTGGGCCTGGCTGACCAAGAGAGCACCCCAACAACCACCCACTATAGCCTCATCTTAACTAATTACAACTGCAACAACTCTATTTCCAACTAAGGTGACATTCTGAGGTATTGAGGATTAGAACCTCAACATATAAATTTTGGGGGGAACACAATTCAACCCATAAACAAAGGCCATCCTTGGTTCATGGGCTCTGTCATTATCTCTCTTCTATCTCACTGTCAATGATGTGTATAAGGATGTGCTCCTTCTTCAGAGGCCATGGCATTCATACACAAGCTGGAACAGAAATTTGAGGAAAGAAATCTTGTTTGCTCAGGAGGGTACATCTTCCTCGAGGAATAAAATTGGGAGGTATTTTAGACAGACTATCAGTCTGAAGGTTTGGTAAATAGAGCCAGCATGTTGACAAAGAGAAAGTTTGGGCAAAATCAAGGCCTTACCTTGTAGAGGATTCATAAAGCAAATGTACTTCACAGGGCCTGGTTTTCCAAAGCCTTGCAGTTTCAAATATTGACCTTGCAAAGGACAGGAAATTTCCCCCAGGGCATTGAGTCTCTGTTGCAAGATAAGAATCATAACACAGCAAAGCTGCTGGTTCTAAGACACACAAGTTACTAATTGATATGTAAAGTTATTAAAAAAGCTGCTAGAGGGAAAAGAAATGTCAGCTAAATCAAGCCTTTGTTAGTGGATCACTTAATTGCCTAACAGAATGTCATCTGACTTGTTTTTACTGAATGTTACCAGCTTCTGTTGTAAAACTTGTTAAATAGTACTTACTTAGCAAAAAAAAAAAAATGTCTCTTTCTGTGACTCCTTGGTCTGGAGAATAAATGCAGGAAGAGAACCCCAATTCATGATTAATTTCCTAAATGGAAGGAATGCCTCTATCTTGAGGGTTCTGGGAAATTAACCCCTTTCTGGGGCTTCTCACTGCTCAAAACAGATGGGCTTTGAGTAATCTTTGGCAGCTCCGTCATCCAGGGGAAAAGGGGTGACAAATCCGTGGGAGGCGAAGCAACATTACCTCACCTAGGAAATAATTGTCTAGAAGCTGGAAAACCTTCTGTCACTAGAACCTTGGACAAGCTCCTTCCTTTTTCTGTGTTTTAATGTCACCAACTGTTATGTATTAAATTGTGTTCCTTTAAAATTCATAAGTTGACTGCTTAACCCCCACTGCCTCATAATGTGACTATGTTGGAAGATTGGGCCTTTAAAGAGATAATTACGTTAAAGGTAATAGGGTGTGCCCTAATCCAAGCTGATTGGTGTTTTTGTTAGAAGAGCAGATTAGGACATACAGGATCAGAGACACCAGGTATGCACAGGCACAAAGGGATGACCATGTGAAGAGGCAGCAAGAGGGCAGCCATCTGCAAGCCAAGGAGAGAGGCCTTGGAAGAAACCAAACCTACCAACTCTTTGATCTTGGACTTCTGGCCACCAGAACTGTGAGAAAATAGATTTCTGTTCTGTAAGCCACCTAGTCTGTGGTATTTTGTTATGGCAGCCCTAGCAAAATATCATACCACTGAATACAGAAGAAATGGACTGGGTAATAGCTAAGGCTTCATGCACCAAGCAATTGCTAAGTCACATAGAGGTACCAGGCAGATTGCTAGTGATGAGACCATACTGCAGATCTCATGCTCATCAACATTCTCCTGGGGGGCAAGGAGGGTTCCTGGATGCCCTGTTACTAGTTTCTCTCAGAGCATACCTTTATCATTGCCCTCCTCAGCCCCTAGAAAGTGTGCCAGCCTACTATTACATTATCTTTTTCCTTTGATGAAGGTTAATTCTAGTGGGAGTAGGGGACAGTGTCTAACCTTGCCTGTTCCAGGTTTGAGGTTTCTGCACTTGGATATGGCCACTGAGGAGGTGAAGTGTTTGCATTCACACACTAGCTTTCTCCACCACAAGGGTCACAGGAGGGTGGGATCACAACAGACAGTGCCTGGAATGAAATTCTGTGATTATTAAGAGATTGATGTCAAAGTCTTATGAGCAGCCAAATAGGGTCAATGGAATACATATTTAGGAAGATAAGCAGCAGGTATGCAGTAGGGCTGAGGGAAGGCAGGGATCCCAGGGGTAAAGGTATCGGTTCAGAGACAAGTTCTGGGAGAAAGTGCTGGGAGTGGAGATTGATATACAGGAGCCAGAGGTATTCTGAGGGAAGGCACACAAGTCAGTTGGAGATGAGGGGTGGATAACTGCGAAATCAAGGCCACTCCCCCTGGAGGTCCAGCCACTGCGTATGGGGCTCTTTCCCCACAGAGGCTCCTGGAGTCTGATGGGGCATGGGGTGAAGTTCACCACCCTCCCTAACCAGCAATTCTTGTAAGAAGTGCACCTCGTTGGAGGTGTCCGTGAACTTGATGCTTTCATATGTGATGGTCAGGATGGGAAGTGACATCCCAGTAATAATAACTTTTCTCAGAGCTAAGCCCATGTGAATTCCACAGTCCCAGCCTACCTTCCACCTTATGCCTAAGCAGACTGTGCCAGGGCCCAGGGAAATGAACAGAGCAGCTGTGGCTGGGCCGTCCCGGCCATGGCTGCCATTTGCTGTCTCCTGGCCTAAAAAGCTCTCCTATCCCACACTCCACGGAATTAAGACATAAATTAACAATGTCAAGAATAAAAAAAAAAATGATCACTGCAGATTCTACAAAAACTTACAGCATAAGGAGTGATTATAAACAGCTTTATGTCACACACACACACACGCACACACACACACACACACAAACACATATCCTTCAGGCATAGCATTTGTCCAAGAGCATAGGGCCAAAGGGAACTGTGAGAATTGGCAGGAGGAGGAGTGAAAGGAAGACCTTAGCATCCAAATTGGCTTGGGAAGGTCAAGGATGTGGAAGCCTGATGATGTAGAGAGAGGAAGTGGAGGGGAAATGCAATGGATTCCATGGTCTCTGCCCACAAGACAACCCAGACAGCTCTCACAGCCTGAGGTAAGCCAGACACTGCGATTGTCCCATAACACGTGAGACAGTCCCTATTGCTCACAATGAGGCTGAGAAGGGCACAGTAAGGTCTCTGTTAGGTGAGGTCACCTTCCTAGGTGAGAAGCCCAAGGCTTAGTGAAGTATGGGAGCTTGTCTTTGACCTTTGAGGCAGTACATGGAAGAACAAGGCAGGCATTATTCTTTATGGACTGGCAACTATCCCCTTAGCTGACACTTTTAAGAAATCCACACTCCATCTTAGAACTCCCTAATGTAAGTGTTCATAAAGCATTGAAAATTGCCATATGGTCGGAAATAACTTATGCCAAACCTGAAAGTGGAGGCATAATTTGTAAACTGGTGGTATCTCACTGTGTCATCATTTATAGGATTGTAACTTGAGAACTTTGCTGTTATTCCTTTAATGTCAAAAATTATGCCTGCTTGTTTTCTAAAGTGCAAGCACTATGGAAGCTTGGGAAATAAATTATGCAAATGCCCCATTGAACTCTTACCTGCAGTTCGGAAATGCCAGTCATTGAGAAAGGTTCCCGCATAACGGACCATAACGTTGGACCTGTGCTACTGTTTTTTCTCTGGAGGTGAAAAAAGCTGAACTCGCTCGAGCACATGGACATGGAGCAGCAGGTGTCAGCTCCCTGGGGATTGTGCTGGGCAGACAGGCTGACTCTCTCTCACCTCACACTGCTGGTGCTGAGGCGAGACTCCTCCCACAGTGCACCTTCAGGAAGGACAGGGGGCAGGACGGTGGGTGGCAAGACAGATGGAAGAATGGTGAGAGCTGTGGAAAGGCTCATTTCCCATTCACCTGTGTGCAGATCACAAAACTGATCACAGTGTGGTCTTTGAAAACATTCAAATGATTAGCAGTGAGAAGTAAAATAGGAAAGTCCTCACATTCCTTCCCTCCTTCCTTCCACAGCCCTCAC